CAAGTCATAGTGTCGAGATCTAGTGAGCGGCAGCGATGGTCTTTGGTCAAGTAAGCTGTTAGAATACAGGTTACCATGTTCGCAGCTACAGCGACGTCGGGAGAGGAAGAGTGACCAGCACGTGTTCTCGGGCATTCCACAACCGCAAATTGACTGTTGGACATGAGCAATAGCTCAAAAACGATAGCACTGTTCCTCGTTGTGCGAACATCAAGGCATTGGGGCACCAACATCAGCCCACGGGACGGCGCGAACACTCAGTTGCCGACTCAGCAGAGACCCTTTTGGCCATGGCAGTATTTGACGATGAAATCGAGTCAATCGATTTGCTGCTGCGTACAGATCCATACAGCCATCACTCGCTGCGACTTTCTCGTCCACGAGCAGATTCTTTGGCTCGGCAGCGGGCCATCGTGTCATTGCCACATGTTTTGGCCAACAGTGGCAGCTAACGAGACCAGCAAACACTCCCAGTGCATGGAGGACAAGAGTACCACATAAAATCCTGAAAGTTGCTATGGCATCAGGTGTACCTGTATGGTCGACTTTCTGCCCACGAATATTTAGACGGTGCGTTGGCAAGATGCTAGACTCCATACAGCAGACAGTGAAAAGACCCCAGCTCTTCTCGTCCTGATAATAGGTCGCATCCGGTCCAGACGCCCAACTCGTTCTTCTTCGTATCTAAGTTGTTGGATACGACCTCGATTGGCCGCAGCATTATCGCCCAAGACCCGGTCATCGGAGTGGCTCTTAGATGCAACTCCCACCTATCTTATGGAAACAGCTGTGACTACAAGCAATGGTTATTCAATAAGCTTCGCCTAGGGAGAATTTATCTACTCAGAATGAAACAGTCGCGTATCATATCCCGTAGTCATATACCATGAGTCTGGGTGAGTCTAGAGGGACATTATTCGTCGGGACACCATGCCACCTCCATGGCTCCCTTTTTCGACCTCCGCATCACATTTAGATCGAGACATGCATCAGGGCAACGGACATCTTTGTATGTTAAATAGTATCAAACTCGCGCAGCTATCAACAACATCAAGGCCTTCGTTTCACCGTCGTTACTAACACTACGAGCACGATCTACGTAGATGGCAAGAGGTCGAATGGCAGCGGAGCTTCCAAATTTGGACTTACCGGTCGAAGCAACAAATAGTTGCTGGATGACACCTCTTCCAGCCACACCGCCAGTACCGGTCACGAAGTGCGGAGTATCCGTACCTGAATGAAAATAGGACTAACAGATGAAAGCCGAAGCCTAAAGAGGGGGCGGGGAGGGCTAGAGCAAGTGGGCTTTCGCGGTTCAAGTCGGCTTCTCAAAGAGCAGCCACAAAGGAGACCAGCCGTTCAACGTAGGGGGGGAAAGTATTTACAAGAAGCGCTTTGGACGCTTTTGCATCCAAGAGGCTCACCTCGAATTTTCCATCTTAGCACGGATATCGGGTGAGATGGGGAATGCTAATGTCAATCCACCTCCCTGATCTCTGAGGAGGAAGGATGTGCCTCGATTTAGCCGCTTGTAACAGCATTCTGGCCTGCATTCTGCGAACCGCACAAAGGGCACAGATGTAGTTGGCCGATCGGACGTCAATAGTCCTTGGCAGCTTGGTTATCCCGCTTCATTGCATTCTCATTTGTCCGACAGGTAGAGTTGCCCTGCATGGTCTTGGTCCATGATAGCAATTGCTCTTCTTCTCGATGCGAGGCACCTTGGCTGTCCAAAGACCTTGCGGTTCTGGATTGCGCAAAACATCTTGATCGTGCGCTACTCGAGTTTTCATTGAACATGAACATGAAGGGTTGTATGAAGCTCCGGTCCTCATCCAAGGTCCCTTCTCTCAAATCTGAATTCGCCGACGAGTCCTCAGGATCCGGAACCGTAACTTGTAAGCCACACCAATCGATCGACGTCGGGTTCCTTCGTAATGGTCTATCGAACTTTCATTTGACATTTTCAGCATCGTTGAACGAGAATGGTTTAACGTGTCATGTCGTTAGCGGAAGCCGCTTCGCTAGTGCGACCCGAACACAAGAACTGCACCCGAGCTAGAGCACGAGTCGATAATGAGACGAACTCGACGACGAGACGACAATGGCCGAGGGCAACCGATTCTCTTTTTTGGTCTGGCTGCAAAATGGGGTAGTGAGGGGCAATGTAAGCAGCGGATACAAGGGTGCCACTCTCTAAATATACTTGGCAAGCTGTATTCGCTTCACGTTGCTCCGACCGTTGGCGCTCAGCTTAGTGAACAGAGACACAACAGTTTACATTCTGGCACACACAGATATCGATTCCGTAGCAAACTCATCATGTGTAGAAATTAGATGCGACTTTTAGAGTCCATTGTAGCTAGGGGGATACATGTTTCGGTCAGACTTGTGGCTGCTGGTCTGCGGGCTTTGATCAACATGTTGTCCGCCTATAAGTCTCCTTGCGATCTCAAACAGTAGAGACTACAGACCCAAGCCTAAAGCGGACACCGAGGGCTTCAAGACTCTTCAGACGTTGATTTGAGCAGAGAAGCCCCCAAAGGTTGACAGTCAAGGACACCCTCGTAAGGGTTGACCAACGAGATGGACCGTCAATCAGCCAGAGTCGCTCGGCACAGTCAGCTGGCGCCTGGCGCCTGGCGGAGGGTGTGAGGGGGTCGCGAAGGTGCAGCCGACGGTCGACCTCAGCGCTGCACCGTGTCAAGAAGGGCCGAAGGTGGTAGCAGACGGTGCAGCAGGTGAAGCATCGACTGAGAAAGGATCTTCCGAGTAGACACGCACGACACACAGACGGACGCAGCACCTCCCATTCACAGTCGATCGCACAGACCCAAGCATTTAGCGCCGATAATTTGACGGGCAGCCGACCTGGCTGATGGCCAATGGTCAGATGGAAGGAGGAAGGCGGAATGCAAACCATGCCGCCATACCACCCTTTCTCGTCCTCCCGTCGGTTGGCCCGATCAGGTTGTCTTCCATGCAGACTTCTAGAAGCTGTGCCGTGGGCACGCATCTACGGATACACTGTAGCTGGGCAGCTGGGCAGCTGGGCAGCTGGGCAGCTGGGTTGCAGCCATCGTCATCGTCCTAGATACCGGCAATCATGTGCTTCTTTCTCGAGATACGGACACCTATCTTGGCAATCGAAGAACTTTAGCGTGAGATAAGATGGCGACTTGGGCAATCAGTGCCTACATATATGTTACCTAAAGCATGGCAAGCACGTATGCGCAAGATTGATAGATATCGTGGGCATGAGGCAAGTCATGCCTACGCAGTAAATGTTGATGGTTGCCGTCATGCACCTTCTAGCATGGTGGGGGTGCCAGAAATCAGGAAACGTTCTTCCGTCGTCCACCCGACTGTTCGCCCTGTCACAAAGCATTTCATTTGTACCTTCTTAGCCGACCACAGTACGGATACTCCGTAATAATTACCAAACTGGGAAGACTTTAGGTATCTGCATCTTTCTCGACTGTACAGAGTACCTGAGGTATCTGCCCTGAAGCCCTGAAACTGCTCGCGTACCTAGAAATCTCAACCTCAGGCCTGACTTTCAATCCAAGGCTCAAAAGACATCTGCAGATGTATGAGTGCCTCAGGTCGATCGCGCCTCACAGGCGGCAGCTGCAGCCTGCACCGCCTTCCCAATTATCTCACCCCACGGCTTCCTTTCCCTCCCACCCCACCCCTCGCCGCCCATTTCTCTTTCTGACGAAAAATTTTCTTCCTCTTCTTTCTTTCACAGCAAACCACCAATTCAACCTTCTCCGATCTCGTGCCGCCTCTCTCTCTCTCTCTCCCATCTCTCTCTAATTCTAGTCGTCTTACCCAGGCCACTCACGTCTTTTGTGTTGCCACTCCCACGTCAAGGCCGGCAGCGGCAGACGTTGCAGTTCATCGCGGTAGCCGCCGTTGCCTGTGATGAGACCTTGGTCAAACTCTGGCCTCGCTACGAGTCTCAACCATGAGGCTCCATGCTCTTCTTTGCTTCACAATGGCTTTCGCCGGACACAAAGCTCACAGCATCGCTACTGGAGACGTTGGTTGTGACACTTCAACGCGAATTTCAATTTCCCGGAGCTCTGATTTCCGCATCCATTGCGGAACTCTACCTTGCTTCGTATTGCACCCAAAATCGTATCTGGGCATCGATACGGTCATCCCTTCGCCATGTGATGTAATTGCCAGAACTACGTTTTACGTAGATCGGCATCAACTGTCGCATATCACTCGACGTTGGTGTTTTCGCTCCTGGCATAGAACAACTATCTAAAACCCGTTGCTGGGCACCTGGCTTTGAGCAGTCGTCTTGACTATCATGAGAAGTTGGGAATCAGCTGAGGTTACATTGATGCGAATACGTTACAACTTGATGTTTTCATCACAAAGATATGCTCTGCTGTCTAGGCGCCAGTCAAGGGGATCAAAATGCTCCAGTACCTTTCGCCAAGCTTGCAGGCAATGAGGCACGTGTCAGGAATCGTTGATTTCTTAACACGGTTCCAAGTCACAGTCATGACTGGTACCCGCAGAGCGTTAGTATCGAGGCTGTGAAGTTGCAGTTTGTTCTTGGCGACTCCTGTTGCTGCTACCCTTAGTTTTAGTGGCAGCAATTGGTGTCTCTTTGCTGGTTACGAAGTAATACCCAAGGTACTCCTTGAGAGTCAGTAGTTCATTTACTTTGAGCGCAGACGTTGAGGTCGGCGTACGTAAGGTAGATGCAACTGACGACCTTTGAGATCCAATGGCCATGTACGAATGAAAGTGATGTTCCTGTCCTACCTTCGGCCACTTAGCTGGTAGAACAGTCCAACGAGCTGCTGGGCACGAGCATACATACCCTGCATGAGCTTCAATTCAAATACTGCGCAAGTATCCGTGCCTAGAGCCGTATGTTCATAAAAAACGGCATGCCAAGTATTGACCAGCGTGTGTTTTGTGCCGCCGTCCTGACCGTCGGAAACTGGAGTCTGAAGGATCATGAATGTGTCTGTTCAAAGTTGTGGTGCAACTCCACGGGCACTCCAGAATCTGAACCCCAGACTCCAGAGTGCCAGTCCACGCTTGGAGCACCAGCCGGTCTCCACTGTCGGATCAGGACCAACAAGATTGTGTTCGAGGACAGGTAAGGTCATCACGTAAGTAGACTGTTGGGAAGACACGCGAAGGTAGGTACGGATAGACTACTGTGTAAGCAATACGGAACGAAGCGCCGTCCGAGCCTTGAGGTGCATCGTATTTATCGGCATGATTCGGGGCGTTTGCATCCTCATCCTCATCCCGTCTTTACCGTCTTGACCGTCTTATCCGCAACGCAGCAAGGCTGCATTGTGCCTATATTCACACTCTGCAAAGAACTTACGGATAACGTACTTAGCATCCTTACACCGTACGGGATAGTCGGACGGGATCGGGACGGGTGATTGTCTCGCTTGTTTCACCCAATACATGTTCTGAGGACTGTTCTCTGTGTGCTAGTGTGAGTAAGTATGAATACCTCAAGATACACGGGAGTTGATGGATAGGTTGGGCTGCCAAGGCGAGATGAGATATTGAAGTCGCAACAGTCGAGGCAAATACCAATCTCGAGGGACACAGTAGTGCTTGCCACATGCCAGTTTTCAACTGAGGTCTGCATCCAGCTTCTTGAGGTATTCGTATCAGTGTGAGGGACTCCCGCGCGATACAATGTGGCGTTGCTCTCATGATCCCCTTCTACCTTAGGTACCCAGGTAGGTATGTAGGTAGGTACTTGATCGCCTTCTTAACTCCCGCGAATGAACCTGATCCTTCATTCTCGCCCAGTAAGGCATGTCACAGATTACCTTGCTCTTACCTACTCAGGTCGTTCCTCTGAACATCTACGCCAACTCCAGCTACAGCCCCAGGCCCAGCTGTACGGAGTACATAACTTCATGGGACTGTCTGTACCTGCCCACATCCAGGTCGAACGGGGCCCACCCCCCATAGAAACGCCTCCAAAGACCCAATCATGGCCTCCAGACAGTCTGCAGGTGGTGGATGCATGGGCGAACCCTCCCTCTTTGGCTCCTGCCTGGCTGCTGGCTGCTGGCTGCTGAATTCTGGAAAGACCTGACATGAAGACCAGGGCACCCGCCTCAGGCATGCACCCTTTCGCGCACTTGCATTTCACCATTCCAATTTATTCCGTTCACCACCACTACATACATGGCCCCGGGTCATGGCCATCGCCGTTGTCGTGGCCCTTTCCCGTCCTCTGCCTTGCGACTAGCTATTGCCATTCCGTGCCATTCTCTCCATGGGCACAGTCAGTTGCTAACCGAGTCGGCCTTCACCGTAGCAAGTTCCTTGTGCTGAAGCAGTAAGTAGGCACGCAACACACCTCGATCAGTCTACCTTGATGTACCTGTTGGGGCCACAATCAGCAGCGGCGAGAAAGAGAACAACAAGAAGCACAATAAGATGCTTGAGAAAGCAGGGAAGAAGCTACCGCCGTCCCCGCCGTCTTTGCCCGTCACTCCAAGTCAACCTCAGGTGCCAGTGTGGCCCAGGGAAGGTAACCGCGCCTCGCCTTCCTGTCCCATGCATCATCTCAGTCTCACCCCAATCCCAATTCTTGAAGGCGGAAGGCCCCAAACATTAAAATGGCTTCCCACGTCCGCCCCGGCGCCTGCCACTTCACCTTGCCACCTGTCCCACGTCCCTTCCCATTATTCTGCAATCTTTCGAGAAACTTCATCGTGTCCACGGAGAGACTCCCTCACTCTCCTGCCCGTCAGGCGACGCATCGCTCCCCTCCTTGAGTATCAAGGCAGGACACAGCTTGCGCTCCGCATGCCACTGACACACACGGAGTCTCCAGACAGGGTCTCCAGTATTTACCAGGTTGCCAGTCGAGGCCACCTCACTTACACATTAGAAATTATTGCGCCTTTCGTCGGGCCAGCGCAAAGTCGGCCCTTGGAATAACCTACAGCGAATACGATAAAAGGCATAACTAGCTATCGTGCAACCCGATCTTACCTTGTGTCCTGTCCTTCAACTCTGGAATGAGGAGTCCCAAAGTCCTGGATAGAGTATCCGTACGACATTACGAATACTTTGCGAGTTTACCTTAGTTTGCGACCGAGTCATCGCCTACTTCCCCGCCAATCACAGCCGGCCCCTCAAGGTACCAACACACTTCTAGGCTACCGTTCAAACCCCCCGTTCTCAAGGTTCCCACCAGCCAAGGGCCTTCAGAAATTCAGCGACCAGCCACCATCTCGCGTTATTAGCTCCGACGACCAGTCTCGTTCACTGCCCTGAAGGCTGAATCCGCCTGCCCGCCCGCCCTTGGCCGACCAAACTCCCGACCTCTGAACTCATCTACTTCGGGCTTCACCACCGAAGGACCGCACCGCCGACCAACCGCCGTCATCTCCAAGGGCCAAGAAAGCACCGCTCGATCCAGCTGCTCCCCTCGAGGTGCCAGTGTCTCCGTTTTCTTGCAGCTTTCCGCACCCTGTTCCTACTCCCTACGACCTACAGATACAAAGACAGTTTCGACCTTTTTCCCCTTGCCTCGGGAATCTTGTTGGAATCCCATTGCACAGGTACATACCTACCTTACCTTCTTTCGGCCACAGTCTCTCCGACCGTGCCTTGCCTGACACAGTCTGCAGCCAAGCTACCTTAGCCCAGCTGTGAGGAGGGCCAAAGGCTACCTACGGATACCTGTCAGCGAAGACGTACAGACTTGACTTTGACGCCATTCCGCTGCAGACCTGCCACCGTGCCAGCAAAGGAAAGAAGGGAACCTCGAACCCCCACCCTACTGCGCAGCGCTGCTTCCAACCCCTCCGATCTTCACACCCTCCAGGGCCTCAACGCCTAGCTGCGACTGGTCGGCTGGTTTACCCCCCGCGTCTCCGAATCAGAGTCTCGATTTCATCCCGCCTCCCTGCAACCCCAAAAACCCGGACACTACTTCATACGCTACACTAGGCGAGAGAAGAGCTGGGAAGGCGCCAACACCGGCAATCGCTGCACAGCGCTGCACGGTCTTCGTCGACGACCACGGTCCGCCACACACCGACCACATCCTGTTTGTTGCACATGCTCAGCCCTTGCGCCCCAGGTACAGGCCCTGTGACGACCCTCACTAGCGACGACACGCTCAGCTACCCCTACCAGACTGCTCTACAGAATACGATACTGGCAGCTCGTCTCTACGGGCCCTCTCCTGCGACGTACTGCTCTACACTGTCTCTGCCGTCCTCTGTTGAATCTTTTTGAACCCGTGTTTTCTCGATTACTTCTGTCACGGACTGCTGAGAACAAAACCTTTGCTGTCGGTATTCTACCTCGCGTGCGCCAACTTGGTTGAGGCTTGAACAACTGGAGCAAGCCCAGACACAACATTGGAAAGGTGATGAAAATTCTCCACTCAACACCCACCACTCGACTAGACTTACCCACTTGTTCCGGACGTTGACATCGGTCAATTGGTCCCAAGTACCTCCGTACCTCGAAGCTTGGCCAACCCTGCCCTCGTCCGTCGTCCTCATCTCTTTTTTTCTTCTGATTTTTATGAAAATCTTTTAGCTGCTATCCGTATCCGTATACCCCACGGATATGTCCTATTCATAGACCTCCACACTTTGTCGTGCTTGGCGGTCACTGTCACTCCAGTCTCTCCCCTCTTCTTCACAAGAAAAGAAGAGGCAAGAGGTCCGTAACCCTCCCAGAGGACGGACAACACAAACACACCCTTGGCCAAGTTCCCACCACCAACACCCCTACCACCTACTACCTCCCACCTACCACCTCCCACCTACCACTTACCACACACAGTCCCAGCACCACCCGTACAGCCGTACGTAAAGTACGGACGGACAGACACCCAGAACCCTCCAGCTTCCGCTACCGGCCGGCCCAGCTTTTAGCCATCGCACCCACGGCATCCAACCCAACCAGGGGCACTGGACTAACACGGCCCCCCCCCCCCCCAGCCCACGCCAAACATTCTGTAACGAGACCGAAGAGCTCCCGCTCCACGCTCCAGGGCAAGAAAATCCCACTTTCCAGGCCGACCCGACCTACCATATCCTCGTCTTCGACTCGACCGTTTCTTTGCACGCCTGCCGACCGCCGATTGTCTTCGATCTCTCTCCTTCCCAAACTCTCGTGGCGGGGGAACTTAGAATCGCTTTTTTCCTCCCAACCATTCATCCCCCATTTTGCTGCTTGTTTTGCCTCGCCCGACATGATTATCGACGGGGAGAAGTATGCCTGCGAGGCCTGCGTTCGGGGTCACCGTGTTAGCAATTGCCAACACTCTGGTAAGTTCTTGGGCCTTTCATTGCACTTCTCTTCTCATTGCAATTGCACCCATGCAATGCAGCTCATTTAGCTATACCACAACATACCCCAAGCTACCTCTACCTCTTTCACTTGGGGGATTTCCTTCCCCAACTACGCCACTGAGCATCGAGATTCTAGCAAACATGTGCAGCTAACCGCTTGTTTTGCTGCAGATCGTCCCCTTCAACATATTAACAAGAAGGGTCGCCCCGTCTCCCAATGTCAACATTGTCGGTCGATGCGCAAGTCACGCTCTGCCCACATCAAGTGCGATTGTGGTGAGAAGACAAGCAAATGCGCTCACCTGCAACCTTTGGCCGATGGCCATAGAGGTGAGTCTGCCCTGTGCTTCTGACAAGTATTCGCCTCCATGATGAGAACAATCCCCTCTAACACTCATGTTCCTCGCGCGCAGAGACTTGTTGCTGTAATCATGGTGGTCGCTGCACTTGCAGCCACAAGAAAGAACCAGCCCTCGACACCGTCCCCGAATCCGACTCCGACAAGGAAGCCATCGCACCTCGGCCGAAGCCGCCCGTTCGCAGGCGGCGTGCGAATACGGTCCATTCTGATGGCATGTTGACCTTCGACGAGCACGGCCATCACAAACCAGCACACAAGCTCAACAAGGCTTCTCAGAAGTGCGGACCTTATCAACTCAGCCGTGTCAATTCCTTGCATAGCACCAGTAGCTTGGGCAGCCACTCCCCGGAGCGCATCAGTGACAACCCTCTCAAGGATCCCGTATCGGGCCGCGTCGCACCTGTTCCACAGAGACTAGTCAAGTCTGAAGCTGCTTCTCCACTCATGAGAGGTTCATCTGGTTTCCAGCAACTCAACAACCAGCTTCCGCCCCTTGATCTCTCTGGCATTGAGTACCCGACATATGTACCCAACGCCTCTTTCGACCTGTTTGGCGGATCAGGAATGTCGTCGGATCACGATGCGCCCATCTTCAGTGCTGGGCTGAGCGCTGCATCCGTGGATTGGAGCCATATCGATCTCACCGACAGGACGGACAAGTTTGCTCCTTCGAGTTACAGCCAGGCTGGCGCTCAGAGCTTCAATGGCATTTTCGATTTCGGTACGGGCTCCGAGCCAGCTCCCACCCTCGCCGCGACGACTTCGACGTCTGGGGAGGTCTCTGAAGTAGAGGACAACTTCATCGCTGGCGATAGTGACTACGACGGCTTCGGCACTGGAAGCAACAGCTTTATTCACCCAGCGAGTTTCCTTGCTACTGGAGCAGACCTGAGCACGATTGACTACGACAGCTTCGCCAAATCATCGAACAATAAGTTCATGGCAGCACCTTCTTCATTTGATGACGGCGGCCCGATTGCTGGCGGTTCTCTCACTTTTGAAGATGACCCGGCGTTCTGGGGTCAGCAATTCAACGACGGCATCGCCACATACCAAGAGTCGCCAGATGGCCTGCCTCAGTTTCAGCCGGAACCCTGGACAATGCCGTAAGCGTTTTGATATGATGACATTTTCGACGCTTGCACGCCAATGATATCCAGTCCAACGACTTTTAGACGGCAAGTACAGGCGCAAGGGATGCGAGCATAGGCGAGATGAGATTTTGTGGTGGACGACTGGATAGATGCCCGCTACGATATCCATACCTTGGAGTTGGCGTAGACCTCTTGTTTTTTTCTTCGACTTTGTTTACATTTTACCCGGACAGCATTAGAGGC